CCCCCAGCCCCGCCTCCAGCCTTTGTCCAGGTCGTCACCTGCCCCCCCCCCTCAGGTTACGCAGGGCAACTGCCACCCCTTCCATGCTGGCCATCAGGTATCATTGCTTGGCGAAGTCACCCCCTTATTTCCCATCCCCATCTAGTTTTGGTGCAGTACCCCAGGGAAACTGAGGCACGCCCCGTCTCACCTTGCTGGGCTGGGGTCAGCCGATCCGAGAGGGGAATTGTTTCTGGGGGGAACCAGCTCTTGTCCCAGGGAATAGATCTACTAACGGGTCATCCCCCTGCTCCTCCCCATGCCCACACACGGCCACCACCACATTCCCCCTGTCATATGGCTTCATCATATTGACATGGTACACGCGGCGGTGATGTGCCCGGTTCGACAGCTCCACCACGTAGTTTACCTCCTTTAGCTTCTTGACAACCTTGAAGGGCCCTTCCCAGGCGGCCTGGAGTTTGTTTTTTCTCACGGGGATGAGGACCATCACCTGATCCCCGGTGGCGAAGGCGCGGGCCCGTGCTGTGCGGTCATACCAGACCTTCTGCTTCCTCTGGGCTCTGGCCAGATTCTCCCTGGCCAGGCCCATGAGCTCGGCAAGTCTTTCCCGGAAGGTCAGGACATACTCCACCACCGACTCTCCGTCAGGAGTGGCCTTCCCCTCCCATTCGTCTCTCACCAGGTCTAGGGGCCCCCTTACCCTCCTGCCGTATAACAGTTCGAAAGGCGAAAACCCGGTAGACTCCTGGGGCACTTCCCTGTACGCGAACAGCAGGTGGGGTAAATACGTGTCCCAGTCCTGCGGGTGCTGGTCCGTAAAGGTTTTCAGCATCATCTTTAGCGTCCCGTTGAACCTCGCCACCAGCCCCTTGGTGTGCCGGACCCCACATTTCTCCCCCAAGCACCGGAGTAGGGCCGACATGAAGTTGGATCCCTGGTCTGTCAAGGCTTCCTTGGGGAACCCCACTCGGCTGAAGATGGTCAGCAGCGCGTCTGCCACGGTGTCTGCTTCGATAGAGGACAAGGCCACCGCCTCGGGGTAGCGGTATCTCCACCACCAGGATGTATTTCTTCCCTGACCGGGTCGTCTGGCTGACAGGTCCCACTATGTCCATGGCCACCTTCTGGAAAGGCTCCTCTATGATGGGCAAAGGCCTCAAAGCCGCTTTCCCCTTGTCCCGGGCCGTCCCCACCCTCTGGCAGGGGTCACAGGATCGGCAGTACTGTTGGACGTTAGTAAAGACCCCGGGCCAGTAAAAGTTCTGTAGCAGCCTCTGCCTGGTGCGCCGGATCCCCTGGTGCCCTGCGAGAGGGATGTCATGGGCCGGGTACAGTAGCTGGCGGCGATACTTCTGGGGTACCACCAGCTGCCTCCTGATCCCCCACGACTCCACTTCCCCTGGGGGAGCCCACTCTCGGTACAGGAACCCCTTCTCCCACAGGAACCTCTCCTGGCAGCCTCTCCCATGGGCTGTACCGCACTGGGGTCGGCCAGGTCCCTTATCTTCCGCAAGGAGGGATCCCTCTGCACCTCGGCCTGGAACTCAGCAGCTGGGGAAGGGATGGGGGCCTGCTCCCTCTCGCTGGCTGGGTCGGAAGACGCAGCCCCTCTGAGCCTTGTCCCTGGGCGCTCCCTCCCCACCAGGTTAGGGTCCTGTGCCTCCAGCGAGGTACCCTCCCCGAGGTCAGGGCGTCGTGCCCCTCGCCGGCTCTGGCTACGGCTCATGACCAGGGTGGGCTGGGGGCTGCTTGGCCAGTCCTCTAGGTCACCCCCCATCAACACATCAGTGGACAAATGGTGGTGCACCCCCATGTCCTTAGGGCCCTCCTTGGCCCCCCATTTCAGATGTACCCTCGCCACGGGCACCTTGAATGGGGTCCCGCCCACCCCCAGCAGGGTCAGGTAGGTATTGGGCATCACACGATCTGGGGCCACCACCTCGGGCCGGGCCAGTGTCACCTCCGCGCCTGTATCCCAGTATCCATCGACCTTCCTCCCATCCACCTCCAGGGGAACAAGGCACTCGCCCCGCAGGGACAGCCCCATGCCCCCCCTGTAAACTGGGGAGGTGGTCTGGGGCACTCCTCCCTCCTGAGCCGTTGGGAAGCTGCCAGCCCCCCCCTGCCTGGGGAGCCTGCCCCTCCTCCCTCGCCCAGTTAACCCGGTGTGGGTTTGGTCTGCTCAGTCCGTCCTTGAGCTTGGGGCACTGGGGCCGTATGTGGCCCCTCTGGCCACAGTGATAACAAATCACCTTCCGTTGGCGGTTGTCCCTGATGCTGGATTTTCCCCTTGGGAGGGGGTTCTCCATATTCCCCCGTTGGGAGGTCCCAGCGTGACTCTCTCTCTGCGTTGCGGCGGGCCTGTTCCTTTGGGGCTCCTCCCTGTCATCCCCTCCCTGACTGTCCACAAACTCGTCGGCCCGCCGCCCTGCCCTGCGTGCTGCGGGTTCTCTGGCTTCTGGTCCATCAACCATCACCTCAGGTCGCGTGGGCACTGCTCATACACGTGCTCCAGTACGACTAGGTCAAGCAGGTCCTCCTTCGTCTGGGCCCCATCTGCCCACTTGCTGGCGTACCCCTGCATCCGGAGGGCCAGTGTTAGGTATGTGACCTCAGAGGTTTTACGCAGACTCCGGAACTTTTTCCGGTACGCCGCGGGAGTCAGCCCCAACCCGCGGAGCAGGGCCTGTTTGAACAGTTCATAGTCCTCTGTCTCCGCCCCTTCCATTCGGCTGTACAGCCCCACAGCTTTGGGGTTCAGTAAGGGGATGAGAAACCGGAGCCTTTCTGCAGGGTCAATCCTGTGCAGCGCGCAGGCCTTCTCAAAGGCTATCA